GTGCTGCTCGTGTCACCCTGGTCCTGTGCGCAGAGAAGAGGCATTTTCAGGATTCCTCTACTGAGCCAACCTTGGAAAGGAATAAAATAACAAGGGACACCCCCCTCCAAATGACACCATGGAGCCTTCAGTGCTCCTAGACACTAATGGTGAAATCCAAGAGTGTAACAAAAAAAAAGAAGGGAAAATGTCCTATTTGAGATACATGTACTCACAGTTTGAATTATTTCTTCCCTTTTCTTTTCTCTTTACGGAATTCATTGCCATCACCAGAGAATAAATTTCACCTGTACATCCCAGGYACCTACAAGACATCAAGCCTCAGTTTGGGGAAAGCCTGACCCTCTATTTTCAAGATAATCACCGACATTAAACCCAATGACAAGTTGCCATATGGTTGTCCAGGGCAGACAGGCAGTCTGTCCATGGATATATTTGTCATACAAGAACCTGAAGAAACAGAAAAGGGGATGTATTCAGCCTCCTCACCCTGTGCCTGTGAATTGCCATATGCCACCAAGGACAGGATTAAAAGGACCCCACACTCCCTGCACCAATGTCCCCTGTGCTGTGAGCACTGGGGCTGAGAGCTGCCCCTGTCTTTGTCTCAGACCTGGACTTTGGCAGGTGGTGAGACCCTCGTCACAGAAGACATCACTTTTCCCGGCTGTCCAGCAAGCATCGGGCTTGCTGATGAATATCCATCTAATTGGAATTAGGGATTCTCCACACCAGCCCTCCAAATGGAGAAATTAGCTGGGTTATTCCAATAAAGATGCTAATATGGGAGGCTCTGTGAAAGGCGAGAATTTCCATTGTCATTCAGAAGCAATTTGTAGCGGATTTGGAGCCTTTGAAAAGGTGATGTGCTGGTGGCTGGGTTTGGATAAWGCCCGTCCCGATACTCGCAGCTGAGCTCTCTTCCCCTCCATATGTCCCTGTGATGCCCAATTTGTATTACTGTGGCGAGGAGGTGCCAGAGCGGAGCGGCAGGAGGAGRGCGGCTGCTCCCAGGACAGGGGATCCGAGGAGCATCAGCCCCTGCTCACACCAGTGGTGACAGGGTGCAGGGTGACACCATGGCTGGTGAAAAAAAGGTGGCTTGRCAGAGAGGTTTGGTTCCTATCCATTGTTTCCCTTTGCTTTTCCAAGCTCCTGCTTCAGCACGTCAGTGTGCAGTTTGGCAGCCTTATTACTCTTTCTGTGTAGATTTAAATCATCAGCTTTGGAAATGATTGAGACTGAAGTTGGCACAATCTCTCCAGCTCAACACCAAAATCCCTACCTGAATTACATCTTTCCCTTGCCATCTCCCTTCAAATATAGCCTTGGAAATGAGGACTACACCGGAGGTGTAATGAGGGCACATCACGCTGGTATCTTGCACGAAGCACCCAACATGGACTAAATTATCTAGGGCTTTGGGTCTCCAAGAGGCTTGGCAGCAACAAACCTTGTAGCCAGACTTGCCTCTAATGCATTGCTCTCTGCAGGAAACCTAATCRGCATGGTAGCAATGAAGCACTTCCGCAAAGTGCAACCTAAATTCACATAAAAACCAAATGCCTCCCCAAGCTCCTCTCTGCAGATTGCTCTAGGAGAGATAATGATATCAAAATGTTTCTCTAATCTAACAGCTGCCTGGAAATAGAGGCAGAGCTCTGAGCTGCAGCGAGGGACCGCGGTGGCTGAGGTTGCCTCTTTGCTCTTGTCACTGACCTTGCATCCTTTGCTCTTTCCATCTTGTGATGTAAAGCTTAGCAGTGACAGCAGAAGGCTGGAGCAGACTGGGCTGCTCCCCAGAAGGCCAGATGCTTTTGACTCCTGTCCATCTCTCTGTCTCTGTGGCTTTATCTGTGTGCAGCTTGGTGCTGGATTTTGTGTTTCCTGAGGATAGCAAAGCTTCATTGAACCAATGGCACTGACAGGGCTTGCTCTACCGTCAATGTTATGTTGACTCCCCCTCAGCCAAGTATTTCAAGATGTGCTTAACTTTAAACATGGGGTAGGAGCACTGAACCCAAGGGACTGCTCCTAGGCTTACAGCAAATACTAGAGGTGAGATGGTCTTAGAAGCACTGGTTGGAGGGAAGAAATTTCCATCTGCTCAGACTCCTCTTTCATCTCTGCTGATCTGCACAGAAGAGGACACCCTGACCAGGCTGGAGCTCAGAAACACTCGCAGCTCTGCCGCAGAGAAGAGCACGTAGAGCAAATGTAAGCTTGGAAGTTATAGAGAGAAGAATCTTACTATGACTGCAAAGGAAAAAGGGAGGTTTGGTCCTCAGCCAGGGCAGCTGGGATGTGCAATTTGGCCAGTCGTGGTCCCTCATGTGGCCAGAGCAGAGGTGAGGATGTACCGAGTAGGAGAACAGTGTTGCAGTGTTACRTATTGAAATAATTGCTTCAGCTCTGCAGTTTTGGCAGTTGGGGACCATGTTCTGGTAYAGTCCTTGATCCCCTCGTGCAATGAAGGGGATGGAAGGAAGGATGGCTGCCTGGCAAGCAGACCCGCAAAGGGTTGTGCTGCACCACTGTCAGCCCCAGCAACACAGTTGGGTTGTCACCTTCTCTTTCCTGGTCCTTGTTTATTTTGGATCCTTCCTATATCCAAAATAGAACAGATATGGGAGATGTTTCTACCAAAAGGAAACTGTTTTCCACCAGTTACTTCCCTCCACTTGCTGGAGAGTCTTCCCTCCCATCGCAGGGCCCCTGTGGCTTTCCTTTGAGCCTGTTCTAGGATGAAAAGATTTAGTCATTGATTGCATTAATAATTCAGAGCCCAATCTCACGGACGGGTGTTCATGGCCCGTGAGGTGGCAATCTTTCATCTTGAGTTCAGGATCAGCCAGATCCGTTAGAGGTCAAGGAAGAGAGCTGCGGCGTGGAACATGTCCTTGAAATAACAGGCTTAGGAGACTCAGGTGCGTGGAAGGAAGTGGCAAACGAGAAGTCCTTCTGCTCTGCACTCTCCATGGCTTGTGCAGCTTGAACCAGGAATGTCCACATGGCCCTGGAGGTGATTTCCATTCGCTTCCACGGGTCCTGGAGCGATCCGTGCTGCGCTGCACAACCCGTCAGTTGCCCGGGTGGCCCGCACACCTTCTGCTCCTCAGCACAGCCACCTGCCTGCTGACGAGGATCCCGCAYTGCCATCCCTCCTCTCCCAAGCCAAGCTCCTCCTCCAACTGCCTGCTCATTTGTGTAGGCTTAATCTTTGCTGGAAGGACAAAGTGTACCTGCGCTATTTGCTTTGTTGGCTTTGTGGCCAAGCAGATCCTTCTGTAGGGGGAGAGGGCCAAATTCACCTTCAGTACAAGTAGGTGAAACTGGTCACGGCCACTAAGCAGGGATAAGTAAAGAAAAGAGAAAGCAAAATAACTCAACGTAATTTTCTCCCTTTATGTTGCAAGGGCARATTTATGTCACTGCTCTCAACACCGATGCAAAAGGCCACTCTCTATGGAGCCCTTCTTCTCCACAGCTCCACCTCGCTCTCACCTATGGGGTGGTAGCCGTGTTGGGGTCTGCACCAGCAGCCCTTCGAGGTTGCCTTTACGCCTACTTGACACCTTGCCGGCTGTTTATGGTGCGGAAGGCAAGGTCAAAGACATGCACCTTGCACTTGGAACTGAAGGTGCCAACTCTCCTGCCGCAGATTAACGGCTGGCTGATAAGGGCTGGGGGAAGCGGCCGCGGACACTTCTGAGCTGCCTCTGTGGAGGCTGTGCCTTGTGCTGGGCACTCGCGGCTCCAGCCGCCCCCATGTCTCCCCCCAGGACCAGTCGTGGCACCAATTCACGGCTGCCGTGATGCTCGACTGCCGCTGCTGCCCAAGGCAGTTTCAGCGTCCCCGGGCCTTAGCATTTATCAAAAAATACAAAGCATCTCGTGCTTTGTCTTCCTGGGGAAACAGTTCCACAGAATAACCAGGCAATATGCATTTGTGACAGCAGTTCCTTTCCATCCCACATGGTAACACGGGCGCCAGGAGCTCAGATTAGTGACACTCTGGAATACAGAGCCCGTTCCAGGTGCCCACCTGCAGAACGGCCTGTGCTCGCCACCCTGTCCCCTCTTCCTCCTCCTGTTGTGCTCAGTCGGGTCTTCCCTGAGCAGCGAGGCACCCTCAGCGAGGCAGGGTTGCTATTTGGTTTCCTGCCTGCACAGCATGCCAGGCCACACAGGGACAGCTCTGTCTATACCATCTTATCCAGACACCCTGGTACTCCAGCATTCAGAACTGTAAACTGATTTGCAAATAATTATTACTGAAGGATACTATTCCTTATATACCTGACAACTTTTCTGGCAGGCATCAAACTTCTCCCCRTCTTTTCTCTGCTCTTCCTTTACTGAGTCACCTACAAACACATTGTTCCTTTGTCAGTACCATATAAACCTGATTTCCACCTCCTTGATGTCAAGTTTCCTGCAGCGGGGCTGTTTAGATGTGTTACGACTAAATCACATCCATTTTCACGGGTTCCTCTCTAAGTCTGAGCTGCGGAGGGGCATTTAGTCCTTGCTGCTGTAGCGAGCGGCCGCGCGCTCCGTGCTGCAGCCTGCGCTTGCCCTGCGAGAGGAAAAGCCAGCGGCGCTTTGCAGCGCTGCGGCCGCGCGCCGCGGGACCGCTGT